TCTTTCATATATATATAAATATATATATAATATAAATATATATATAAATAATATATAAACATATATATAAACAATAGGTTTTTTGCAATAGTGCTCATGTGCTCAGCAGAGAAACAGAGAGAGACAGTGAGAGGGAAAGTGAGAAATCACACCCCCAGAGGGGATGGCCATGCCTCAGCATCTTCTTGATTCTTCTCTCAGGATTTTGGGCACACAGGCACTTATGCCCAGCATGATTTTCGAGCCACAGGGCCTGGGACTTGAACTGTGGTCAATCATGTGGGAGTCCAGCTTTAACCACTATGCCACCTGCTGGCCCCTGTTCTTTATTATTACTTAGGGTTTTTTTTTTTTTTTTTTTTTCTCAATGAATTCGTTTTGGGAGCAGCGAGTGGTGTGGTGGCTAAGGCGCTGGACACGCCCACAGGGCCAGTCATGGTTCAAATCCTGGACCTGGTGCCTGGACCTGGTGGCTTGCTTTCTCTCTCTCTTTCTCCCTCTGTGTGTATGTCTCTCTGTCAAATTAAAAATAAATGAATGAATAAACAAAGTTAAATAAATAATTCTTTTAAAAAAGAAGAATTCTCTTAGGTCTTCCTAACTCTGCTCTTCGTTGCTGCTATGTATATATATCTCCCTCCACCTCCACCCCACCTTCTTGTGCCTCCGTCTATAATGCTGTAATTACTAGTATGGATTGCTAACGAATGGTTGCATGGTGAGGCACTGCGACTCCCACTGCCTTTTAGCAAACCTTTAAAAAGCAGTCCTGTAACACATGAGTTAGCTTCGAAGAGGGCATTCTCCCTCTGATGTCAGCATGCCACATACCTTAAAAACTATTTCTTCATGGCAGCTGACTACACCAATTTCTATATAGCAATGATTCCCTGAAACATTTTATTCAGAATGATTCCATTTGAGTATAAAGAGACACCTGACATGTCTCTATGCTGACATGTAGAGAACAGACCATTAGTGGGCAACAATATCTCAAGAGGAATAGATAAGAAATTACGGAAGCTTGGACCATGGTGGTAGCAGTGGAAATATTTTTTTTTTTTTTTGGTGGGGTTTTCCTTTAAGGGAT